AGTTGTGCTGCTTAATATTTTTGTATAAACCTTTTTTTTTTGTATTTGTTAATAAACTGAAAAATCCAAAACGATTTTTGAAAAAAATTTTGTCTACATTATAAATGTCTTCACTGTCACTTTTAATCAATTTTAAGCATTTTTAAACTGGAAACCCAGTAAAAATACTTAAGTAAAGTTACAACCCCAACTAATCGAACCTGTTTCACACTGTAAGTAGTCGTAACAATAAAAAGGCACATAACCGCCCATCAATCTTTTAACAATCTCACATTGTCATTTATGCGGGTCCTTAAACTCCCTTTTCTTTGATTGCCATTTTACAGCTGTTTTTAGAGTGCGAGAAAACCTGCAACAGACACGTCTGTCATCCTTAAAGACGCAGCCTGATACTACGCATTACGCAACGCGTGGCCCGGAGCCATCGGGGTCAACAGTGAGCTCTTACGGATAAAGCCAGTCCCATCTTTTCTTACATTCCTCTCTCTCATTCTTTGTTCCTGTGCAAGTCATTATACTCTAACAAAGCGTGACACATGAAGCATTATAAGCCTCTGAGTTTTATATTGAAAGGAAAAGGGGCAAAATCCAACTTTAGGGACATACACAGGGCATACAAAGCAGAACGAATGTCCGGATTGACCCATTTTACCTCAGCGCGTCGCACAGAGCCTCTACTGTACGTGAAGTTAATAATAAACCCGCAACAGATCTGTGCTAAGCGTCGTTGCCTGGCCAAACACGGCTTGTTGAAATTCGGATTAGATTTACGGTCCGCCGGGTATTGGGCGATCGTAAAAGCGGGATTATTAAAATAACTTTAGAAAAAGGAAAGATTGTGTACACAGTGTTCTTGTAAGAGCGGGCTAGGCGGAGCAAACACATTTTGAGGTCTTAACTTCCTTTTTGGCGGTTTTCTTGGCAAACAGCAGGTCTGACATTCCTGGTGTCAGTCTGAATAAGTAGGTGAGTGTTGATATCCGAGAAGTGATAGATTTCTCTCTGCCTCCGACACTGACCGTCTAGTTTTGGATGAAAAAGGGGAGTTTAGGCAGGAATTCTACTACCTTCCTGTCGCAGGTTTCCATCATGGTTGCCTGAATGGGGTAATTACATGCGTGGCGGCGGGGCAGGGGGCGGAGGGAGCGGACAGGCAGTGAGGGTTTTGAGCTTTGCCACTGTGTCATTATGGTCCTGTTTGAACCTTATTCAGAATAAGCAGCCCGAAGGGTTTGCGGCCAAACAGCCCGAGCTTTTCCTCATGTCGGGCCAAGTTGCCCGCCCGCCCGCCAAACCTCTTGTTTTCATTCTTGCAAAAAAAAAGAAAAGAAAAGAAAAAAGAAGGCCTCCAGAACAAATAACATACAGTTACAGTCACCCACTGCTTGATATACCGCATGATATTTTCTCACTTTTTTGTCTCTGAGCTCACATCATTTTCCCACCAACTTCAACATATACAAATTTATGTTTCTGTTTGACCAGCACTGGCCTACAGGAGCTTACAAAAACACTAGTAGCGCTAACTGTATTAACCATGGTATTTTGGCTCAATGGTTAAATATTTGGAGGGCCAAAGAATATATATATTAGTAATATATAGTAATAAAATTAGGTAAATTTATTTAATAATTTTTATTTGTATTTTTATTTGTATTTTATTTTTAGTTTATTTATTTATTTATTTTTTAAATTGTAATTTTGGTTGGTGTTCACAGTTAAACAACAATTACTATATTTCAAATTACTAGATCTTTTCTTCTTAATGTTTCACGTTTTTTTATACTAGATATTTACCACAAAAATTTACTTCAGAAGTCAAATTTTGCAAGATATCAAAACTTCTTTTCAGAGAACATAACTTGAATTCAGGTTATTTCTCTAACACTGTTGCCCAAATACATTTTTAAGAATAACTCTCAGTAAATTTAGTAGATAACTCCCAGTAAATTTTAGCTAATCTATACTTATACTACCATATATATATATATATATTGTTTTTTAAGCTACTTACTGGAATACAAGATACATTGAATTCAGATGTAAAATTTTGCAAGATATAAAAACGCTTTCAAAACTCTCTATTAAAAATCTTTTCAGAAAATATAACTTGAATTCAGTTTATTTCTCTTACTCCATTGCCCAAATAGATTCTTAAGAATAACTCTCAGTAAATAGTGTAACTTTATTTTTAAAACAATAAAAAAAACACAATTCAGAGAAAATAATAATCCTCTGAAAAAAGCATCATCAAAATCACATTTAATGATATATACGTATTGCATGTATTATATAAAATAAAATAAAAATATATATAAATACTTAATAATTAAAAGATTTTAAATATAGGCAAGAACTACAGTACATTACTATAAGGGTAAGGCCAGTTTTTAATAGCAGATCTTAAGAGTGAGTAAGACATGCCATTGGTACACACTACACGAGCGACTCGCCCCCCTCCGGGTCCAGCACTGTCTCGATTCGATTACAACAAGAGGGTTGGTGACAGCTCCTAGGCATACTTGAAAAGCGGTTGATATCCGAGATCAGTCCTTTCAAGCTTAAAGAGAGACGGTATGTAATGCATATCACGTCCGAGGCCAAGGAGAATCGCTGAAAACCACAAGTTTTAAGTAATAAGCCTATTTAAAGTATCTGCTTTGAGCCTGTACACAAAAACGGTTTTGTGAATCCTTTTTAAAAAAGATAAAAATCGACCCCGTTGATGCACAACTCCTCGAATCAAATGAAAAAAGAAAAAACTACAAATGCCAATCGGACAAAGAGATACAGCACACATCAATAAAGCATAACAGATAAAGGTAACCGCTTTCTTGTGATCTCTGCTGTAAATATCATAAACTGTTTTGAGTCCATTTATGGTTTTTATAGCTCATGGCCACCTAATAAGACCTATTCTGTTCTCTTCAGGCCGTCTGGCCCGTTTCCTCCATCAGGATCACCATGCAGGTCCAGTGGCACAGTCACATCCTGCCCATCTCCAGCGAGATTATCCGACCCACTGAGTCCATTGAGACCCAGAGACCCAAGAGGAAACTGGAAACGCTTTCTATTCAGCTGGAGAGGCGACAGGCTCTCTTATATTCAGTTCCAGGCCAGGAAAGTCACAAACACAAACATATACAAATTTATGTTTCTGTTTGACCAGCACTGGCCTACAGGAGCTTACAAAAACACTAGTAGCGCTAACTGTATTAACCATGGTATTTTGGCTCAATGGTTAAATATTTGGAGGGCCAAAGAATATATATATTAGTAATATATAGTAATAAAATTAGGTAAATTTATTTAATAATTTTTATTTGTATTTTTATTTGTATTTTATTTTTAGTTTATTTATTTATTTATTTTTTAAATTGTAATTTTGGTTGGTGTTCACAGTTAAACAACAATTACTATATTTCAAATTACTAGATCTTTTCTTCTTAATGTTTCACGTTTTTTTATACTAGATATTTACCACAAAAATTTACTTCAGAAGTCAAATTTTGCAAGATATCAAAACTTCTTTTCAGAGAACATAACTTGAATTCAGGTTATTTCTCTAACACTGTTGCCCAAATACATTTTTAAGAATAACTCTCAGTAAATTTAGTAGATAACTCCCAGTAAATTTTAGCTAATCTATACTTATACTACCATATATATATATATATATTGTTTTTTAAGCTACTTACTGGAATACAAGATACATTGAATTCAGATGTAAAATTTTGCAAGATATAAAAACGCTTTCAAAACTCTCTATTAAAAATCTTTTCAGAAAATATAACTTGAATTCAGTTTATTTCTCTTACTCCATTGCCCAAATAGATTCTTAAGAATAACTCTCAGTAAATAGTGTAACTTTATTTTTAAAACAATAAAAAAAACACAATTCAGAGAAAATAATAATCCTCTGAAAAAAGCATCATCAAAATCACATTTAATGATATATACGTATTGCATGTATTATATAAAATAAAATAAAAATATATATAAATACTTAATAATTAAAAGATTTTAAATATAGGCAAGAACTACAGTACATTACTATAAGGGTAAGGCCAGTTTTTAATAGCAGATCTTAAGAGTGAGTAAGACATGCCATTGGTACACACTACACGAGCGACTCGCCCCCCTCCGGGTCCAGCACTGTCTCGATTCGATTACAACAAGAGGGTTGGTGACAGCTCCTAGGCATACTTGAAAAGCGGTTGATATCCGAGATCAGTCCTTTCAAGCTTAAAGAGAGACGGTATGTAATGCATATCACGTCCGAGGCCAAGGAGAATCGCTGAAAACCACAAGTTTTAAGTAATAAGCCTATTTAAAGTATCTGCTTTGAGCCTGTACACAAAAACGGTTTTGTGAATCCTTTTTAAAAAAGATAAAAATCGACCCCGTTGATGCACAACTCCTCGAATCAAATGAAAAAAGAAAAAACTACAAATGCCAATCGGACAAAGAGATACAGCACACATCAATAAAGCATAACAGATAAAGGTAACCGCTTTCTTGTGATCTCTGCTGTAAATATCATAAACTGTTTTGAGTCCATTTATGGTTTTTATAGCTCATGGCCACCTAATAAGACCTATTCTGTTCTCTTCAGGCCGTCTGGCCCGTTTCCTCCATCAGGATCACCATGCAGGTCCAGTGGCACAGTCACATCCTGCCCATCTCCAGCGAGATTATCCGACCCACTGAGTCCATTGAGACCCAGAGACCCAAGAGGAAACTGGAAACGCTTTCTATTCAGCTGGAGAGGCGACAGGCTCTCTTATATTCAGTTCCAGGCCAGGAAAGTCACAAACACAAAGCCAAATTAAGACTGGCCTGTTTTCAAACCACTCCTGGAAGACGATACGAATCATTCGGAACTGAACCGCTAAGCCTACATTAACCAAACACATCTGAACTCTTAATATTGCATGCTATATGTAGACACCCATAAACCACAAGAACCCAGCGTGATAAGAAACCAGCCGAGCACTTACTAGCTACTTCCAGTGAGGCGTTGTGGCTAACCGCTTCTCCCAGGTAGTTACGGGCCACGCAAACGTAGGAGCCTTCGTCGGGTTTGCTGCGACGGCCGTGTACGATACGCAGGAAGAAGAGCGAGCCGCTGGGCAGGAGCATGCGGTGGGATCGAGGGTTGTCCCGGTCCGTTTCCACACGCTCTCCATCCTTGTACCACTCCACGGTGGGGGTGGGTCGCCCCTCTGCCTTGCAGTTTAGGGTGGCCGGTTCGCCCTTGGATACGATCAAGTCAGAGGGGTGCTCCACAATGCGGGGTGCGTAGTCTTCCTGCCGCAGACGGGATCCTGGGAAAAAAGTGAGATGTTTGATTAAATAACATTTAACATGAGTTTTTCCTAATATCATTTTATTTAGAAAAAAAATTATATTAAGAAAATGGAAATGTACTTAATATCAAATATTATAATCCAATATTAAGCGTATTATAATAAAATATTATTATTAATAATAATAATAATTATTATTATTATTCATATTAAAAAGGAAACATGCTTTTATGTAGTATATATATAAACATATTTAATATGCTATATATATATATATAATCAGCCAATAACAATCAAGAAATCAATAACACTGGTATAAATTAAATTAATACACAATTCTCTTTTCTCTATATACATACTATAATGTGTGTGTATATAATTTATATTTAAATTATATATTAAGTATATAAAAGATTAGATAGACAGACAGACACAGACAGAAAGATAGATAGACAGACTAACAGACTGACTGACAGACAGACAGACAGACAGACAGACAGACAGACAGACAGACAGACAGACAGACAGACAGATAGATAGATAGATAGATAGATAGATAGATAGATAGATCAGCCAATCACAATCAAGAAATCAATAACACTGTGGTATAAATTTTAAAACATGATTCAGGAATCGAATGGATAGACAGCTTCCTCAAGTTTCCAACGCTCGCTCAATTATGCTGTTCTGATGTACGAGCACAATCAATATTCAAGCAATATTAATGACGATCAATTTTCCAATGAGCTTCAGGTCAGATGAGATTCTGTTTTGTATCCTAATGCAAATTCAATACAAATAAATTGCACCGCTTACTAGATCCAGATGGATGTATCCCGATATTTTCTGATGACTTTGGCTACAGGAGACACCGGCTGAACTAAGCACATGATGTCATGGGGATGCATTACAACACACAGTTATTTAAAGGACTAGCTGACCCCAAAAATGAATTTTCAGTCACCATATGCTCACCCTCACCTGTATGATTTTCTTTCTTCTGAGGAGAAAAATGTTTTCCATACAATGAAGTGAATGGTGACCAGAGCTTGTTGAACTCCAGTGTTTCCCATACAGTGATTTATTTGTGGCGGCCCGCCACAATATCAAAACTGACCGCCACAAATATATTTTTCAAAAGGCTTTTACTTCGTTGAATAAACAGGAGCGCTGCACATTTCAAAATCAAAACGCAGCATGGGTGTTTTTATTTCACTGTATTTCTGAAGGAAATAAATACGACTGTCTTTAGAAAAATTTCGATGTCATTTTCATTTCATCTTGCCTGTAATGCCTGATAAAGCAGCGTTTGTGAGCTCAGCGCTGCTTTGTGTACAGCGTTACCGGGGAAACCGCTATCTCTCCCGCTCTAAAAGCGCCTCCTGCTGGCAGAGAATCAATTTGCACATCTATGCCGCCACAAATAGAGTGCAAGTCTTTGGGAAACACTGAACTCCAATAAGAAAAAAAGTGGCACAAAATATGACTCTTTGGAAACTGTATTATAGCTTTGTATGTGCTAATTCGTCATGAAATTTACTAGCAATTTCTTAGTGAAAATGGTTTCAACACCAAATTTTTCTCAGTGTATATGTGCAGATTTTCTTAATTTAAGCTTCTCTTAAATGTTGAAAAGTTGGTCACCACTGGCTTCCATTCACTGTATGGAAAAGAGCATCACGAACACCTTTCAAACAGGAAAGAAATACACAATGGTTTGGAATAAATAGAACATAAGGGTGAATAAATGACAAAATGAACCATTCCTTGAAATTTCTTGTAATTCCTGGAGCAGGTGTTGGTAACTTCCTACGAACATATTGGTGTGGCTTTGACAATCACAAAAGCTCTGGGAGGGAACCAAGCCCTTCATTACTGGAATCTCTCTGTTCTTTGGACTGCCACAGACCAGTGCTTAAACCAAGCCACTGTCATTTCAGTGGTGCGCCACTTTGATCAAAGATGTGAAATGAGAGGGCTGTAAAGTTAGGGATGAGGGGGTGTTTGGAGGAAAAGGGAAATAAGAGGCATTACAGAGAGACACACATCAGACAGCTCCGTGGATGTCTGGGTTTGTGTGTGTGTGTGTGTGTGTATAAGACCTGGTTTATATGCAAATGAGGCTTGCATCTTTAATGCCTAACGGCTACAATATAGTGTGTGTGCATCTCAACACTGCCCTTTGGAGTCCATTCAGCCCCAATTAAAAAGAGCTAGGATTAATTGGCAGCACAGGGTCAAAATTCATTCATCCAACCCCCAACCCACCAGCTTTTCACTCTTTTTTCATCCCATCCCCCGTTCCTTACATCTAACTATCCCTCCCTCCGGCCCTTCTGCGGAAGGAGAGCTCCATAAGACAGCGTCTATGAGCATTAAATCATCCCCAACATCAGCGAGAGTTTGCGCGAGGTAATGCATTCATTGATTTGCATGTTGCGGAGAAGAGCGGTTGGCTCTCGTGTTTACAGTACGTGTAAATATGTAATGGGAAGATAATGAGCTGTGCTTTCTGACACATACGAACACACTGCAGGCCCGCAGGACGATACACTACCAGTACATTTCTGCAAACAACACAGAGCGAATGCATAATGGCTATTGTCTGCTAACAGCCATGTGGAAGTATTGTTTATGTACAGAAATTACCTGATATTGTATAAACAAAAGTACTATTATTATCATTAGTCTAAATCCATAGAATTAATAAGATCAAATATTATATATAGGCATTTCATGGTCTAAACATGAAAATCTGTTTTTTTATGCACACAATACATAGTGTACAGCTTAAAAAAAACAACATTGTTAATTAAATAAAATTAAATTAAATAATTACCAAACAGAAAGTTAAAAAATAAAACAGTTCAATATTTGGCCACTTTATATTATCAGCATTGACTGAAAAACACAGTTGCTATGCTAATATTGATTTTATATACATTTTCACACTGACGTTTATCTGTGATGCAGAATGCACAAGGACATTTTCCATTATTTTAAAAAGCATTTTATGTCAATATTTGATTATATGTTGCATCCAATAAGTGTTTTGTAGCAATCCAATAAGCGTTCATTATATATATGTGGGCAGTATATCAGCCACCTCTCATTCTCTAGATATGAGCTTCAGTATTGGCTATTGAAAAACCCAATTTGTTTGCCTATAATAAAAAGGATGAATATTAAAGAATGGTGACAGAAGAGGAGATTTATAATAGAGTAAGAAAAAATAACGAGGAAGAAAATGGCTCAGGGTAATCTCTCAGATGGAGCGTCCGCATATTAAGTTAACCTGTTCAAGTTCCGTTCTTCCATCCTGTTAGAGCAGTTTGACTTCATCTATGCTGGCTGCATACGCTTAGAGAAGTATCCAGTTGGAGAGAAGGAAAAACTACCCTCCTCCTCCTCCTCCTGAGGTGCTCATGAGTCCACTCACAAAGTCAGAAGACCTCTCTACATGCAATATTCCCACTGCACTTTGAAATGCAGAAGCCCTGCTCTCGCTCTCGGCAGACCAGCCGTACTTCTATCTTTTATTTATTTTTTTTATACGATGGAGCGCTGCATATGCTCAATAATGAGAGGTACTGCTGAGGGCGGCGCCACGTTACACGGTGAAGTATATTTTAAATTTACATGCTGTGAACGAGACAAAAATGCAAAGAAAGAATGAAAAGAATAAAAGAAAAAGAAAGGGCATCTACTGTATAACTCAGTCTCTCTTCATGGATAATAAATAAAAGCAGCTGTGTTTCTAGTATTTCTTTCTCAGCACTCTGCTGACTCTTTTCATCTGTTTATTTCCACATCTGACTGTTTTCTTCCTTTTGCCTGTCTACTGCTTTTGGTCTCCTGTAGCCTTTCTTTTTTCCCCCCTCTCTTTTTTTTCCATGCTCTTTCCTCCTGTGCTCTTTCCTGTTCTCTGAGAATATGAGATGAGCTAATCAGCTCCATGGGCTCAGCGGAGGGATGCTGGGATTTCTGCATCTAAGATCTGATCGATCGCTGCCTAGGGCAAGCATCATTTTCCTCCTCTCAGACTGACACACACACTCACACACACACACAAACATACATACACATGAAGTACACTCAATATGTGAGGCTGTATCAGTCTCGCTATCCTTCTACCACTCCACTTTTCCTCATCGGGTGGAGGGAAGCCACTGGAGGTTTGCATTGGAGCTAATTAAGGGGAGAGGTAACCTCGGACAGGGGATTTAACACAAGCCTGAAAATCCCTTACTCTGCTTGATTTGATTCAAACATAAAAATGCTGTCAGGCAATCCTACTACTGCAAAAAAATCATATATATATATATATATATATATATATATATATACAGTAGTTAATAAAAGTTCTATGTTTTATATATACGCTAAAGTGAGTTTGACATAGTATTTGGTTGTTGCATTCAAGCAATTGACGCCAAACTGCCGCTAATTCAAAAGTGAAAGTAAAATGCGCATGGCGCTTTTAAGCTATTTAAAAGCGAAGGAAAGTGAGGAAAGAGGGAAAATTCAAACGAACTAAATTGCTTTACTCCGAATTGCCGCTATTTGAAAGTGAAAGTAAAATGGGCACACCGCTTTTACAAGCTATTTAAAAACGAAGGAAAGCGAGGAAAAGAGGAATCGCCCCGCCCCCGCGGTGATACCGATATTACCGGTGTTGTCACACGTCGATTAACCGGTGGGAAAATTTCCTCACCGTCACAACCCTAATATACAGGGCCTACAATTAACACTGGCCAAGCGCCAAATGCGAGTAAAAATCGGCGTTGGCGAGTATATGTAACACTGTCAGTCGCCAGTTGTCCCTAGACACGGTTCTAATAACTTTTACCTGAAAAGATTTTGCTGCTTCATTTCGGAAGATTAACTTTTCCCTTCTTTATTCTTCATAACCCGAGAATGCGGTGACACTGGGGTTATGCCGCCTAAACGGTGTAGTGAAGTATAGTTTGAAAGGCTGCGCGTTCGGCTGTAGGCTACGCATACCCTGAGCCGCTTCA